CCCCCAACCCACGGCAGTGCCGTACCCCAGCCACACCCCAACCTACCCCGCCACCCAAACCCTCAGCCCCACGGCCCTATCACATAATTTTGAAACAATGTCCCTCCGCGAGCCAACTTGGTTTATGGATACCGGTGCATCCCATCACATCTCCATTGTGGGTGCTCTACAGTATCTCACCTTTACTCGACCCGACATCACATATGCGGTTCAGCAGCTCTACCTTCATCTCCATGCACCTCGCGACGCTCACCTCACTGCCATGAAGCGGGTTCTTCGATATCTGAGCGGCACCGCTACTCATGGCATCCATCTGACACCGTCCTCCACAGATTATCTCCAAGCCTACTCCGATGCTGATTGGGCTGGTTGCCCAGATACCAGACGTTCCACTTCAGGCTACTGCATATTTTTAGGAGATCATCTTGTGTCTTGGTCGTCCAAACGGCAGGCAACCACATCGCGATCCAGTGCAGAAGCCGAATATAGGGCCGTAGCCAATGCAGTAGCCGAAACTACCTGGGTGCGCAATCTCCTCCTTGAGCTGCAGCAACCCCTCTAGCGTGCCACTCTCGTCTTCTGCGACAACGTCAGTGCCGTCTATCTCTCAACCAATCCCGTTCAGCACCAGCGCACCAAACATGTTAAGGTAGACATCCTCTTTGTTCGTGCCAAAGTGGTGCTTGGACACATTCGAGTCCTACATGTTCCTTCGTCCTGCCAGTATGCCGACATCTTCACCAAAGGACTCCCTTCACTTCTATTTCTTGACTTTCGATACAGCTTGGGCATCAGATTGCTTCCACATCCGACGTAGCCGGGAGCATGTTAAATATATTCTTTATATTTAATACTATTATATTATATTGTTACCATAACTGTATCACCTTCCTACTATGTCTCTCCTACCATTATTAGGATTGAGATTCTTAGTATATATACACATGTAATCACCACAATTCATCAATGAAAATATTCTTTCTACAATGCCTCTAGGAATCTATTAACACATTAATTACTAGACCTGGCAATTAGGTCAATTAGTTCAAATCTAGTTTAGATCATTTCAATTTGAGTATTTTTTAAATATACGTTATAATCAATTCGAGACGGTTTGATTCAATCTAGTCAGTTTCGAGTTAAATTTGGTTTAGTTTTTTTCTAATTTATTTTCAGTTTGAGTTTATAACGGTTCGGGTTTATATCAGTTTCAGATGATATCTCTAATGAGTTAGTAAATCGATTAATGCACATTATAATGTCACTATAAATTTTATAAACTATATATAAAAATACACAACAACCTTAATTTAATTATAAAAATACAGAGTAAAAGATCTGTACATTAAATTAATTATACTTATAACAAAAACATATTTTTTAAGAAAGACATCAAATCTGTGTTTGCCGAACACGGCTTGTGTAAAATTTCAAATGTAAAGAGTGAGTTCAAAGAACAAACTCTTTTTGTGTTTTATTCTCTCCACCTCTTTTTGTGTTTTATTTTTAACCAGAGGATATACTCCTACTGTTCCACAAAACTCTTCTGATTTTGACTTTGAAAAAACATATAAAATGAAATTTTAGTTGACTTTTCAATTTTACCCCTGATGTGATGAAAAAAAGTGAGCTGTGATAATTTGATTATTAGTAAAAAAAAAGTATGATGTGATAGATAGAATATAAAAAAGTGAGATTAAAATAGTTTTTTTAATGCAAAGTAGAAGTGTTTTGTGGAAACAAAAAAACGAGAGTAGAATTAAACAAACTGTTTGTTTCAGCCTCTTAATAGTCCGAATGTTTGAATGATTAAGATATTTACCTCTAAATTGATAAATATTATACAAAATCTGAATAATTAAAATCTCTTAATAGTTTAGACCTCTTAATGGTTCAACACATATATATTCAAAAATTGCCAAAGAGTCTCTTACTATACGTATCATTACCTAGAGACCTCAATACTGGACATATGAATTTCAAGTATAGATTTTGGGCTTTTTCAGCGGCTATCAATGGATTGCCGCTATGGATGTTCAATGGATATGAATTCAATTTCTAGAATTTTTTAGATAATCAGATATCCGATTATTTTTTTTTTTCCATATATTTTTGGAATTTTATGGATATATATTGACTATATGTTTAAATGTAATTTTATGTTGATTTTGGAACTCAACCATTTTGGACTTTTTACATTAGCATTTTAGAATCTTTTGTTTTAATAGTGTTTTTTTGTTTGTTTAAAAAAAATTACCAAAACTACTCCCAAATTAAATTTGGTATCATTTTTTTATTAGGCCATTACCTAAAGGTGGAATTTTTTCTTTTAGTAAATTTATATTGAATTTGTTATTTTGGGTTGATTTTACTATTTACCTTTTTTTGGTAAATTTTGGCTAAAAACTCAACTTTACAGATATTCCAGTGCTCCGATCCAAAAAATCAAACTTATTTATTACATTACCTTGAAACTTAATTGTTACAACCACATTATAAACTTATTTATTACATTTACGGATGAACTTGGAACTTAATTTTGAGTAAGTAACTAAGTATTACTCACTAAATAAATTTCTGTTTCTGACTTTTTAAAATTTTAAGGAAAATTTTAAGGAAGGAATATTTTTGTATTGACTATCTAAAAATACTCTTGATATGATATGTAAAAATATGATGTGATATATAGACTATTAGTAAAACTTATGATACTATAAATAGAGTATGAAAAAACAAGAGATAAAAGAGGTTTTTTAAAAGAAAAAAAAAGTTTATTTAAGAATAAAAAACGAGAGAGAATTTATTCTGGAACGAAGTAAGTATTTTTTAGTTGCACTGTTTTGAGATACTAATCGGTAATTATTAAATAAGTCTAAGATGTCTATTAGTTTTCCGCCATGCTCGGTCCATAAAAGAACAACTGGCATGTTACAGAAAAATAAATTCGAAAATCAATGTTTGCTTTTACCAGTACTTGAACACGATCCCAAGTTCAAAGAACAAAGAAAAATGCGAGGGGTATACCAAATGTGTACCCCATTTGTCCCCCACCCCCTCCTTGTCCACAAAAAAAGACAAGAAATTCAAAAAAAATAAATAAATAAAAATAAAAATGAGTGGTGAAAAAGGGAGTGGTGTACATTTGGGGTACACCCGGGGTACCCCTAGTATTGCTCAAGAACAAATAGTTTGTTCATAGATCAATAACTAAGTTCCAATTAAGTTCATAATGTAATCATTACAGTTAAGTTTTGTATTTACCTGTGATGAAATTGAACCTGTACTGGTAACAATAAAGTTAATAATGTAGTAATAACTACATTAACTGTGATTTAAAAATATATACTCCCTCTCCCAAAAAGTCTTTCCTGTTTTAGTTTTGCGCATCCCATAAAATCCCGCCTTGAATGCCAAAAAAACTTTTAAAATAACTTCTACTCACAATAAAAAAGAAATGTTGTTAATTTTAGACATTTTAAATGTCGGCAGTAGTGTTTTATGAGATGCGAAAAAAATGAAATAGGAAAGACTTTTTTGAGTAGGAGGAAATACTATTCATCACAACCCCAATCAACCTTCCAACATTTCAAAAAAAAAACAGTGCAACAATTAGATGTCCTAAAACAATATCCAGACATTGATCTAATCAGATCAAATTTAACTTAACATGAAATAATATTTTAACTCCAATTCATAGTGTAACGATCATTTAAGTTTTGGTACTGCACGAAAAATCAAAATATTTCTTCTTTCAAGATTGTTAATTACGGATCTTATGAATTCTAGGTTTTAAAGAAACAACAAAATTTAACGAAGTATAGGGCGTCTGATTGCATACGTTTCATGACATAACTGAAAACGAATGCCAGAATCTCACCACCAATTTGTTATCGGCAACGTACAGCGCTGATAACGCCATGAACAAGGCGTTTCAGAGACTCTAATTTGTTGCCTTTTTCAGAGAAAACTAAACGAATAGCTCAAAAGAGGAAAGAAGAATGGTTGAGACTCAGATTAGTGTTTAAGCATCATCAAGAAGCTGACTGCTTTCAGAGTTTAACCAGAAAATCGCCGAAGATCGAAAAACATAATTCGCAAAAAATAATTAAGAATGCTGTGATTCAGACATCCGAGGAAGGACAAAAGCAGCATAAGCTCTCAAGCCCGGCGAAGGCGAAAGCTCTTAGGCGGCCACTGCGAATGTTCTGAGAAACAAGCCTTTCGTTTCTTCATCACCATCACATCAACCCATTGAACTTAAGACAAATCAGATCTGATGAAAACGAATCAAAACATCTCCAAGTTGAAAATACAGAAATAACAACGAAGAACTCCCGGGACAAAAAGAGAAGAAGAAAACGGAGAGAATTCAAAAAGCCTCAGACATCCAGGGAAGGACGAAAGCAGCATGCGCTCTCAAGCCCGGCGAAAGGCGAAAGCACTTAGGCGGCCACTGCGAATGTTTTGAGAAACAAGCCTTAAAGATTTATCATCATCGGCAGCTAACAATAATAAATCAAGCGAAAAAATTCAAACACCAAAAGACGAGACTAAATAACGAAGCTCTGGCAACTCTGTCTCTGCGATTTGGAAGAGGCCATGGATGTGAATATAAATAGGGGTTTAGGTGCGGCGTATATGGTAATGAATCTAGGGTTTGTGAGCGAGCTTCCACATTTTAGAGATGATGAACCCAACCGTTGATAGTCCATTAACCCGACCCATGTAACCATTTACTACTGGGCCGTTGAAAGTTTAACTTTAGCGGATCTTTGGGTCCGTGTATTTCTCGATGGAGAAAAAAGAGTTAAAGAAACGCCCGATTTTAGTAATTTACTCCGTTACGGAGTAATTAACGGATCTTTGGGCAAAAAACTGCTGACAGGTACCTCCAGTTTTGTAGTAAGAACTACCGGGTACCCCCAATTTTGAAAATATACTCCCAGGTACCCTGAATTATAAAAAAAACATACCAGGAGGGGATTTTATTTTGTTTTATCAAATTGCTAACGAAAAAAGAGAAAGAAAGTGAAGAAAGTTTGACCCTGTGAATAGTGAACATCTATTATAATTTGGGACGAAGAGATTATTATTATTATTATTATTATTATTATTATTATTATTATTATTATTATTATTATTATTATTATTATTATTATTATTATTATTATTATAAGGAGAGTGTAAGTTTGATTGACTTTCCAATTTTGCCCCTGATGTGATGAGTAAAGTAACATGTGATAATTTGGTTATTAGTAAAAAAGGATGATGTGATAGCTAGGGTATGAAAAAGTAGGGTAAAAGTGGTTTTTTAATAGAAAGTGAAAGTGTTTTAGGGAATTAAAAAAACGAAAGGGGAAGAAATTTATGGAATGGATGGTGTATTATTTATTTATTACAAAGTACTTCCTCCGTCCCAAAAAGATCGTTACGTTTCATTTCCTTGCGCATCACAAAAAGCAATGCTACTCACATCTAAAATTTCTAAAATTTACCATATTTACTATTTATTATAAGATGAAATTGTTTTGAAAGTTTTTTTGGCATTTGAGACGATATAAAAATATTTTAAGGGATGCGCAAAGAAATGAAACGTAACGATCTTTTTGGGACGGAGGGAGTATAATTTTCTTTTACCTCTATTATTTATTATTATTATTATGAAGTAATATTTTCTTATTCTTCTTTTATTAATATAAAAACTAAATATTAGTTTCACTATTATTTTTAATAATAATAGTAATAGTAATACTAATAATAATAAGATAATAATAATAATAATAATACTAATAATAATAATAATAATAATAATAATAATAGAAAGAGAAGAAGAAGAAATAAGGGTGAAGGGTTGGGGGTTTGGAAGATTAAGAGTGGAAGGAGGAGGAGGAGAAGAAGAAACAAGAAAGAAGAAGAAAAAGAAAAAGAAAAAGAAGAGGAGGAGGAGGAAGACCGAAGAATTAAAGATGGAGATGGTGGGTGATGATGATGATGCTGATCAAGAAGTTAACGGAAAAACCCAAATGGATGGAGGATGGATGGAAAATCTCCTCTTAGTATGTTTTTTTATAATTCAGGGTATCTGGGAGTATATTTTCAAAATTAGGGGTACCCCGTAATTCTTACCACAAAACAGGGGGTACCTGGCAGCAATTTTTTGATCTTTGGGTCCGTGTATTTCTCGATGGAGAAAAAAGAGTTAAAGTAACGCCCGATTTTAGTAATTTACTCTGTTACGGAGTAATAGCTTACGTGTTTCGGTGATTTACAAAAAAGGCATAAAAACTCTTTCTATTTTTAAAAATTATTTCTAAAATCTCTATGACTTTTAAATAGAGAACGAATATCCTCTTTACCTATTTTTAAAGTAACAGTGACATTTATGCTATTTCTTTTCATCGATCTTAAATTTTTTTCAATTTTATTTTTCTTTATTATACAAATATACAAAATAAAATATAGGCTTCCCATCTCAAATTAGAATTTTTCATAAGGTATTTTTGAAAATAAAAGATTTTTTTTGGAGAATGTTACAAAAGAAAATGTAAAATTAAATATCATATACAAAGTAAAAATAATATTTGAAAAAGGTAATTAAAATAAAGAAAAATATTAAAAATAGTCTTTTTTAACTCCATATTTTATTTCATCCTTCTGTCCTTCATTTTTTAAAGTTCTTAAAAAATTATATTACTTTTAAAAAATAAATATTTTATAATTGACTTTAAAGTCAAAAGTTAAAAGTTTTAGCTTTACACTTACGAGGTGCAATTGACGTATGTGGGGTGATTACTTTGGGTCGGGACTTGGCGGGTGTATTTACCGGGGGGTTAGAGAGGGTAGGAATCATCAATTTTATGAATGGAGTTCCGTAAGTGGAGAGTGGCTTCCGTGGCCACTGGATTCTAGTGGCCAGGGAACCGAGCCGATATATTATACGCACAATATATTATACAAATATGTGTAATTTCTGTATTAATATAGTATAATATGAAATAATTCATTATAACATTAAATAAAATACTCCGTAATAGATACAAATAATTTACTACTATTATAATGTTGTTGTAACACCCTAATCCGTTCAGGTCTGCAGCCCTTTTGGACTAAAGTATTAACTTGGAAATCGTAAAAATTTAAAACTTTTCAAACACTTTTATTTATCACAATAATATTTTTCATAACATATACAGTACGGAGTATTCAACAATATTGCGGAAGCGAATTAAAAATTGACATATCATAATTCATTTCAAAACTTGTCACATCCATCCCGACAATCCCGTCTCATCTGCCACCAGGATCAAATTGTTCTTTCTGTTTACCTGCGTGTAGCAAATAAATCATACTACACGCTCAGCGGTAAAGCTGAGTAAGCATATCTAATGCGTCGCACATCCATATAAACTGAATTTAAATTCATAATCAAATCATTTGATATCATGCACACAATGTTCACTTCAGACATTCTCAATTTTGATATTATTCAGTTCTTATCAACATATTTTATTCAATTCAGTTATTATTTCGATAGTGCTCTTAAATCGTTCTTAATCTAAGGCCAAATCATAACAACGCTCTTAACTATTCTTAGTCTAAGGTCAGATCATAACAAAGCTCTTAGCTATTCTTAGTCTAAGGCTAGATCATAATTTCATTCTCAGACGCTTAAACTATAATTAGTTTAAGGCAAACATTTCTCAGACGCTTTAACTATAATTAGTTTAAGGCAACAGTTCTCCGACGCTTAAGCTTTAATTAGTTTAAGGCAAACAATACTCAGACGCTTAAACTATAATTAGTTTAAGGCAGCAATAAGACAATAATTAATCATCATTGAGTCGAAGTATTTCCAAACGATTGATCCTCTAGCTTAGTCTACGAATCCTGTTTATACATTTTTATCTAATTCATCGAATATTAATGTTTCACAAATCCATACTAATATGAGATATATTCTAGAGGTCTTCTAGATAGCCTTAACATCAATTTTCTAAATGTGTATACCTTGGAGTTCTTCTAGATACCCTTAACACTACAAATCATTTCATAATTATAAATGTATTCATTTTATTCATGATTCAATCATAAATACTTATTTTAATCAGTAGGTTCAATACTCATAATCATCCATAATATTCATTTATCATAATCATCAATTAACACAACAATTGATAATAAATAGCGGTCTAGCCTCGAGTGTTAACACCCGAACTTACCGTCATGCAACACATAACATTTTTTTAGTTGTTAAAAACATCATTTTTATTATGAACATAGAAACGATCTATATGAACATTCTAGTCACTAGATATATCTACGGGCTTACCTCGAAGTTTAACGAAGGTTTTGGATATTTTCCGGCGAAACTTCCGGCGAGGTTTGTGGTTAGCTCCGGCGACCTCTCACCAAATTGATAGCACCACTGTACTCCTCTCTCAACAAAGAACAGAATAGAATAAAGAATGTAGAGGTTTGGTGAAGAAATGAAATAGCTTGGGTTCTCTTATATAGGATTGGTGATGGGGAAGGAGCCAAATTTACGTTGCTTCCTTTCCATGTGTAATCGGCTGAGTGGAGTGAGCGGCGATTTGTAGGATTTTACACGCCACTCCCTAATTGGGATAAATTTGGTTCCAGTCGGGGTACACTTTTTGGTCCAACTTTCTCCGAATTGAATTCCGTTTGCACCGTTGCGATCGGACAGTTAAACTCTATCCAACGATATAATTTTTATATTTATTAGTTATACTTTTTCTGACATCATATTTTTGGGTGTTTGACTTTGACAGAGTAAAAATTGATTTAGTTGATCTTTATTCAAAAAAGTTTCTCACATTTAATTCATATCATTTGTTCTAATGATTTATTTCAACAAATCATTTCAATATTCACATTCTAAACAAATTCTTTATTTACTCTTGATTTTGGTCTGTACTCAGGTTCCCAATCAAGACCACACAAATAGTCCACATATTGGATTTATCTCTATGAGACTTATTCAAATTTTGATATTAGATGTCAAAACAAATTTCATATCGGCCCAAAGCCCAACAATAATTTATTTTAATCAAAACAATTGTGATTAATTGATTATTTATTCATTAATAATTCTAGGGTATGTTTTGGGGCGTTACAGTTGTATGGTGTAAAAATCTTTTATACAGAGTAATATCGAATAAAATATTAGATACAAATATGTTACATAGTCCATATTATAATTTTTGATGTAATTTTTAAATATATAAATTTTTATATTTTATTTATTTTTCAATCTTTAAATAGAGTGAATCGAAAAAACTTAATTTTTTTTCCTACAATTTGTGATCTAAATTTATCAAAAAGTTACCAGCGAGACTAACATGTGGTCTGTGTGCACATATAAGCGAGACCTAAATTTTTAGAAAAATGCTAGGGGTACACTTTTGGTGGTGTACCCCATTTGTCCCCCATCATCTCCATCATGACAAAAAAAGTTAAGAAAATAAAAAAAAATAAAATAAATAAAAATAAAATAAAATTGAATGGTAAAGAAAGGAGTGAGGAACAAATCGGGTACATCAAATGGTGTACCCCTAGATTTCCTAGAATTTTTTTTTCTTTGCAAGTCTGCATAAAATAAAACAGGTAAAAAGAAAAAAAACTATATCAATAACGGCTGAAAATTTATACTGGCAAGCTTCTTCCCGGGAGTTTGATGGAGATTAGAAGTCTGGTGCATTCCTCATCCGACCCGGCGTCTGACGGAAGATCTCCTACGGCATTTGGCAACCGGCTGTTTCGTTTCCTTCAATCCACCATTCTCTTGATCGCACAAGCTTATCCACGCAAAGCAACTCCTCCGAAATGTTCAAATTCTGGTAATTTTTGTTGACCGAGCTTTTCGTTCCGATTCAAAATCATAGTTTGCTTTGCAGTTTATTACGATGTTCTGATTTTTAGGATTCTGCTCTTCGGATTTTGTTTTTGGATTATGAAGTTTTAAGCTTCAATCCAGTACAAATTATTACCGTTAATCGCGATATTGGGGGATCTATCTGATTTTCCTTGGATTTATTCCACAAAAGCTAGAAATTAGGGCTTCTTTTTGTTGTTTTTTAATTTTTTGCAATAGAGAGAGGTATAGCTTGTGTTGATGTTGGTGTTCTTTTTCATTTAACTGATTTGGAATTTAGATGATTTTTCTTACGGCGTTAATGAATTGCAGTTTTTGTGTAATGAATGAAAATGTTCATATCTACAGGGGTTCTCGTGGGCAAGAAGCTCCGCCACATCGGCTGGAAACTCCTACAGACACTCAGTGTACACCATCTGTTGTCAATTCTCCTAGTTCTGCTGCAAGTTTCGGATTATCATGTCTTTCCGAGAGACAGAACACCTCATCACAGGTACCTCCTGTAGAGGCTGCTGGAATCATAGATGCACTAAAAGATAAAAGGTAGCTGCTCGTGAAGTTGTGTATGCATTCTCGTGTTGCATTGAGTTGATTCGTTTTACTTAATATGTTGTCTTCTACTACGAGATGATCTCCATCTTTCTTATTTCTTGATTCTTGAGAATATTGTTAGACTTGCATGTTTAGTGTTGTTGATCTTTCCCATTTTCTGTACTCTACCATGTATTTGTTTTATTCCTTACTCTTAAAGATTTAACTTTTGTTCAGTGATGATGACTTGCGTAAGCTTCTCTCTGACGAAGATGCTTATAACACCTTTCTAGCTTCACTTGAGCCCGTCAAGACTCAAAACAAAGTGAGTTGCATATTTTGGATTTTAAGAACTCTGCAATTATATCCATTTGTCTGTTTATCAATCATGTACCTGAATTGATATTTTAAATGGACGACTCTTGTTTTTCTTTCCAATAGGTAAGGGATGAGCTCCGTAATGAAACTCTGCAGCTTGCTAGTAAGTGTCTATTTTGTGTTTCTATATTTCCTCATAACAATGCCCCACATATATTTTTGAAACTCTATCATTCTGCAGGGGAAAATTTAGAAAAAGAACCAAAGATTACCGAGCTTAGAGATCAGGTGTGACATTTTATTACTACTAGTCTACTAGTACTACTACTACTACTGCAATGACTACAATGATTAAATAACAATGATAATAATAATAATAGTAGCAGTAGTAGTAGTATCTTAATCTGTTGTCATTAATACCAAGTTTGGACGGTCTTCCAAAAACAGTCCCAAGGCAAATCTCGAAATCGCTAAGAATAATCCAAATCTTTAAGTTGGTCTTCCATGAATGATCCACACTCTAGCGCAGCTAGGGATATGTTAACTTTTTAAAATTTATGATCCAACGGCATCACTTTGGATGGGAACGGCAATCTCAAAAACGGATTGAGGATTAAATATAAATTCTAATCTTGAATTGGGCAAGAGTGCTAGACCAAAATAATTTTTGCCAACATTTTTTTTAAATTTTAAATGACGCATATCGAAGCTCCATTTGAAAAAAAAATGCTCGAAATTCTATGTTTGGTCCACTTGAAGATTAGAATTATTTATGTCCAAACTTTAATTTAGACATTTTTGGGATTCGGGTTCTGGTTCGAACTTCGAAGTGGTCATGTGGGATCAAACTTTTCAAAAAGTTAATGGAAGACTAAGGCATTTCATTGTGGTTCATCCTTGAAATATCGGTGCAAACTTTTGATTATTCTTTGCAACATTAAAACTTGGGATTGGTCTCTAAAAGACCACCCAAACTAGGGTTTATTTTCATCAAATTTTCCATAATAGTGATACTAATATTATTAATAATATAGCATTCAAGATTTAAAATAAAACTACTTAATTGTAAAAAAAATTCTTGTGGGCTACAGTGCATGGTAATCCGAACAACTGAATTAGCAGCTGCTCGAGAAACGCTGCATGAACTGGAGAGGAGGAAGGAGGAGCTCCTGAAGAGATACTCTCCTGCATCCCTTCTCCATGGACTTGAAGGTAATGTATGGATCCCAGATCTCTTATTCAGACTTATGCTACTGTACCACTCTTCTGCATCCCTTCTTTCACCCTTGTCTTTTACTCCGTAATTAAGTGAACAACTTCTTTCCTTTTACCTGAAAAAAATTAGGCAAGAACAGAAGATTCCCTCTATATTTTTATTCATCAAAATTTAAACTGCGAATATGTGTAAAGCATCATATTCAGCACCTTTATCACAATACTATGTTGGGGTCGATTACCGTTCCTTGTTGCAACCTTATAAACGAGTAATGAAAGGAAGTTCCAAAGCCATCATTATCACGGTGTGTACCACTTGCATGTAAAATATAATGACCCCAAGATATAAAGGGGAAGGGGAGGGGGAGGTGCAAGCCTTGAAGAATGTATACTAGAGATGGTAGAGCTTCATATTTCAAGATATTTTTCATAGTTTATGCTGTGAGCTCCTAGGTCCGCGCCTTGATCACAACACAACCATGCATAAGTGAAAATGGTTGCTATACTCATACTCAATTGTTTCCCCTACCGAAATTGATTCAGTAGAACAAACATGCACGTCATGGAATGTGTTTGATGCCAACATGTGTAAATCAATTGTAAACTGCTCATTTTGTTTGTATTTAGTTGTCCACATTTTCTTTTTGGGGTCCAAAATTAGTTGTCATGAAACTGTATTGGGAAAATAAAATTACATAAACTGCCCAACATATGCCGGAGAGGAAAAGTACCATTCGTTCTCTCACGAGCAAGTGAATATCAAATTGTCTTTTTATCGCAATCCTGAGATTTTAGTCCGTATTTATTTCAGAAAGCGGACATTTAAGCTCAGATGGATAGTAGTTTTCAGATCAATGGATCAAAATGCTGGTAGTAAAATGCATGAATATATACCCTTTTGAGGGTGTATAATGTATTGCATGTCCTTGTTAATCTAATCCTATGTAGAAACACAGAATGGTTTGAGTCTTGTTTTTGATATTCATGCAGAGGCAGCTAATAAAACAGACGGCGAATCTGAAGACCTACACAAACAGCTTCTTGACCGAGAAATCGATCTTGCAACATTTGTGCAGAAGTACAAGAAACTGCGCCACGCCTACCACATGTATGCCCTAACTCGCCTTTCAGCCAAGACTTCCATAGCAGGTTAAATTTTGTTTTTGTAAAAGGTACTCGTATTAGTCGTATATAACTAGCGTCTTTCTTCTGCTATCGTACTGAACTGGCCATGGGTGATTTGATGACATAAAAAATGAGGATTTCACATATCTTATCTACTTAGTCCCCACCATATTATAACTCTGATCATGAAGGTTATATTAGTCCCTTAAGAATCAAACCGGTCTAGATGACATTAGTGAAGACGAAATTCGGTCTAATTATTGTTGATTGCCGAAAGTGGTCTTCTCATTTAGAACCAAATATGTACGAGAACGAAATCTTGTCCAAGTTTTTTTCTCCATGAGTCTATGTTATATAGTCCAAGACCGTGGAGAAGATTGAAGTTGAATTTTAGAACAACCAGAGAGGTTATATCCTCCATCCTTGACCTCTTACAGAAGAACCAAGCGCTAAAGATGTTTCACATTGGCTTCAAAGCTAACATCATCAGTATATACTGTATAATTTTATTCTTATTACTCTTCATATTCTACATTCGTCCCAAATTAATCTTCCTACTCTATTATTTACTAGTCATAATTTTCTTCTTTATAACTTATTTTTGTTAATAATTTTTAAAAATAACATGCATGTCATCTCTTGTTTTATATGGAGTACTCTGTAGTACATTAGATCTTATTTTTTAATATATGAAATTTGTTATAAACTATGTACCATTATTTAAGCAAATTCAATTGAAAATAAATTTAGTTAAACCTTGTTATTGAAAAGAAGACCAAACTTTTGGGTTGGAGTAATTATTTGTACTAATATGTTTGTTTAGTTTGAATCTTTTTATCTGAATCATAATATTCAAGCTTTCTGAAGTTCCCATATGGTATTTCTCCAATTTCCATATGGTAAGAGAGAAGTAGAAAAACATTAGCTCCTCCCTTAGCTTGACGGTCCTCAGTACACATTGCCACACCCGCTTCGGTTATCACCAAAGAAACCTTGGTTGTCCAACTTCACACTAACGAGTTCTCTTGTGGTCATAAAGTCCACATGTAAAATATGAAAATATGAAAATTTTCATACTTCTTATAGACTAAGAAGTGATTTTTTTAAGCAAAAGGTCCAATTCTTTTATGATATCAATATAAAAGTTCATAAAATAAATATGGACTTTAGGACCACATAAGAATTTGCCCGCGCTAAAACCTATTTTCCTATCCAACAATTTTGCATTCTTTCGCCGGTGACAATCTTCAATCTGCTCAATTTTGTTTCGGCTTATTAGTCTTAAGTGGTTGTTGGTTTTGTTTTGCTTTGTGGGTACTTAAGTCAAAACTAGTTGTAAGTTCGACATGTCAGTAGGTGATGAGTGATGTCGTTCGCGCCTAACTGCGGTAACACTTTGTCCAAGTGGAATCATGGGACACTTGTTAGCCGTTCTCGTGTTACCACGTGGGAGTCATTCGTTATTACTTTTGGTTGTTTCTTTGCTCAGTCACTCATCTTCACCCGTTGTCCAACAAATTAAGTTTAGTCCAAACTCTTTAACAAGCTATTGTTTTTCATCCTAGCATTATTTTTTATTCTCTAAATTGTGTATTATTCTTGTTCGCGTCTCAACTTGAGGGAGTATTATTGAATGTATTAGGGTTAATATTAATGGGCTTGTTACTGGGCTCGTAGTAAGACCAACCTTACAGGTATTATAAATACTTTGTTTATGTTTACCAATTTTATTCATGTTCAGTTCTCATAAAATTGCACATAGACTGTCAAGGACCTTGTAGTCTAATGACACTGCTATATTTCTTGTGACTTCTCAATTGAGAAGTCACGTGTTTGATCCCCACTGTGGGTAGTAACTGTATGAGCTTTAATAGGTTGAGAATGTATGAACAGATACTACATTGTAATATAATTATTAATGTTAAAAAAATTGTGCATAAACTCATAAAGTTCGTCTAATTTCACTAAAAAAATCAAATCGAAACTAGGACGGAAAGAGTATAAAACATCTCATGATGTTTTCCACAACACCATTTTTGCACCTTATTGATCATTTGGTTACACGAACGAGTAAATTTATTTACCAAGTACGGGACATAGGAATGGGATGAGTATTTCTTTTATACTCCGTATATATTAGGATTTTCAGTTTACATCTAACTCAGCCTAAACCTCCAGGATCCCACCTTAAAATCCTTAGAATTAATATTTGTCGGACAACACTTCGCAAAAGTAAGAAATGTCAATGAGGTAAGACTTGACTTCGATTTCTAACAATTACATTGTAAGACAACAATGTTTAGTATAAGACTTCTTCAACTGTAAGTGTAGACTTCAATTTTTGTCACTAATCTATAATCAAAATCTAATTTACCTTCTTTTAAAAATTGTCTGACTTGATGTAAAGAGAGGAACTCATTTTTTCAGAATGAATATTTAAATAGAAGTGGCCATGTGGGCCATAAGTTGTTAAAGACCAGCTGTGGAATTACGTAAGCATGAAGGGATGAAGACACATATTTAGATCAATTTGGTCTTGAAGTAACGTTTTCTAAATGACCAATGCTAGGGGGTTCTACCCGAAGTGCTCCAATACTCATCCAACCATACAATTCTTATCAACACTTTATTTTTCTTCTTTATAAAAAAATCTTATGTTAGAGAGATACATACATCCCAATATATATCGTATGACCGATCATACATTGTTTCTCGTACATCTACGACGAGTGTTCATTTACGAGTAACTGAATGTTTATTTTCGAGTAAGTAAATACACATTCTCGAATAACTGAATACTCATTTCTCTAAAATTTAGTTATGCTCGAAAATGAATATTCAGTTACTCAAAAATGAGTGTTCTGTTACTCGAAAATGAGTACTTTATTACTCGACGATGAATACTCATGTAGATGTACAAAAAATATAGTACATTCAGATGTATGGTATTATAACTCTACTTAAGGTACAACTTCAGATACACCAAACATTTTTCTTTTTAAATTTATGTTAGCATTTCAAATACAACTTTCTCCTAAAAAACCCCTTTCCATCCACTTACAAAACAAATACACATTCCTTCCTGATTTAATTTGGACACATTTTATTCGGACATGAAAAAAAAATGAATACACAACTTAGTTACTTTTACGGGCAACGCTCTTTTGACCCGAGTCAAAATTGACCTTAAGTGACCTTGACATTTTATAAAAACCTACGATACTTCATTAGTAATATTGATGGTTTCTATCCCTCTAACCTCCTTCCTAAACCCGCTGCCCCTATACCTCGTCCCAGCACCCCATGGCCTCTCTAGATTACATATTTGGCAGGGGCAAATCGGCGATCTAGGAGGGGGCAGGAGGTGCTAGGGCCTGGGGTGGTGCAGAAGAGCTGAAGGGTTTATGGTGAGTAAAAATCATCAGTTTTACCAACTTAGTACTGTAAATGTCTCAGATCATAATATAATATTGACTTCCCAGGTAAAAAGAACCGTTGTGTTCTTTTATATAAAAAATTGTTACTTTATATATAAAAGTTCTAAACATTAAATGGTGGTATTTCGAAACTCATCTTATTTATGTCAGCTTTCAAAACACATACTTCCTCTATCCCTGAGAACATTTTAGAAAAACTCTCTGAATAAGTCTAAAAATTATGAAAACATCAAACAATAATTTTTAATTTTTTAAAATCAAAATAAGAGTTTACACTGTCATTATTATACTGCCACACTTAAGACATTGTTACAATGCAATTACCACACTATCACTGTTAGTGTGTCACACTGTCATCTCTCGTCGTTTGCCACCAGAGTGTCACCTCCGTTTGCCAACGGTTGACAAATCACATTATTATATTATGTTGTCGAAACTTTTTTATCGCACTGTCAATGTGTAATCTTATATCACACTGCCATTAAACTCTTATTCTGGCATATTTTAAAAGATTTATGATTCATATTTTGATGTTTTCATACATTTTTACTCTTATCGAGTAAGATTGTTTAAACATTTTTTATTTTGACTTTTATGAGAAAAGCTGTAAAAATTTGACTAAAGTGAAAAGATAGGAAATTAAAATAAGTAGGTTTAAGAAACGTCAAAATAGATACGGCCTAAAAAATTACCCCCCCGAGTATGTGATTTACACACTAATAAATCTCGTGAAACCTGCACCATAACACATAACCATCTAAAAGTCACATTTTATTTATCTCTCTGAGTTTCAATTGTGAAAAAGTTGGAGCCGAGTTCGAGCCACAGCTCTATGTTCGTTCCGTAGCAGAGCGCTTCAGAGCTAAGGAATAATATCTTTCTTCAGAGTGTCGTCGTCTGTAAAGCGTAAAGCGGCCCCTATACTGGATAAGAAAGAAGTTGAGCTGGAACCCTCTGTCTCCTCCCCTAACCATATCCCCCCCCCCTTCTCCTCTTTCCCCCTCATGAAAAATCCCTTCTCCTCTTCTATAAATCTCCACCTCCATCTCCTCACCAGCCAACAAACTAAATCTCTCAAAAAATCGCCGATTCGAAATTAATTCCTCGTTTTTTTCTTCTCCTTCTCGAAATCGAAATTGAAGATCTGAGAAATGGCGGGGCAGAGCAAGGAAGATCGGATGAGTCTGTTGCCGGACGAGATACTGATCAACATACTCTCCCGGATTCCGATCTCCGACGCGTGCCGCACCGGGAGGCTGTCGAGGCGGTGGAGGAACCTGTGGACTCAGGTCTGCAACGTCCGCTTCTTCGACGACTACGATGACATCCTGGTGCATAACATTGCGGCGGAGGACGGCTTCTTCTCCTTCGTCGACCGCGTTCTCAGCCGCTGCGCCTCTTCCAGGATCCGCCGGTTCTGGATTCAGTTCAAAAGCCGGCAGGAGGCGGATTTCTCGGCGGTCAATCGGTGGATTCAGTTCGCCGTCGATCGGAGCGCCGACGACATCCTCCTGATGCAACAGGTATGCCCGGAGTATATTGTTTGGCCCTCGTTTTTTTTCTACTGTAGATTTTCAACGCTTTGGATTTATTTTTTAGATATATGATGGGTGATCCAAAACTTTACGGGTTTAATTTTCTTAAATCAGTTTGACTTCCTTTTTTCAGGATAGACTTCCCTTTTCTAGCATTTTTTTAGAGTAATTTTTATTTACTTTTTGGACAGACAGGTTGAATTACATCAAATGCTTCATAAACTAAAATGTGACATAAATGTTACTCACTATGCCCTATTTTCTA